ATCACTCTATTTCAGTTAGTTGAATGTGACACCTGAAACCTTTAACTGAGAGGATCGAGTCAAAAGCATCAGGATCTCGTGGTTCATCTGTTAAACTGGTATTTGATCCAGTTGTTCCACATTGAAAACAGATGTTTGGATGACTTTGAACACACAGATATTAAAGGAGTGCTTGAAAGTGTGAGTGTGTCAGTCGCTTCGCTTCCATTATAAATGTGCACAAATTTTTGTTGATGTTCTGCTGATATTGAAAAAACACATTTTCCAGCTTGCTATGATTCCATTAAAAAATAAATTAAAATCATGTGAATAAGCTTGTTCATATGATAAGTCATTAAAAATTATGGCAGTGACAGATGAGATATATTCAAAATTCAGCCATGACGCTAGCGCTCATCAGTCAGACATCAGCGACCCATCGACGTCTTATTCAGCTCTTTATTAGGAGTGGCTACATGTGCTGTGTTTTGGGAAAATTGTAGTTGATGATTTTACAGAAGAGCTATGAATTCAGCATGTTGGAATGACAACATTTTATGAACTGTGTGAAGCTGTGAGAGATCTGATGGAGCCAGCTGCACACTGTCTGAAAAAAACAAAAAAACAATTGCAGTCCTGTTGTCTTCTTCATTGTTTTTGCCAGTAGTAACATTTGGCTGTTTATCACAACTCCTGCAATGCAAAAAAAATAATAATAATAAAAAAAATACAACTTTAAAAGATCCTCATCCCAGCCAAAGACTTTTTATTGAAACACCATGAGTTTTTTTTAAATTGGTATGTTTCCATTTTCATAATGTTAATTTGTGCAATTCTGTGGTTAATGAAAATGCTGCCAATTAGTTTTCATCTTTCTGCTATATGAGGAATATGTAATACAAATCATTCCTTTGATTTAGCAAGAGCTGCTGTCTGGTGGTTTTTGCAAGGTAAGTAAAGGAGATTATAAAAACACATTTAAGAATATTTTTCTTCGTTATTTAGGCACATGCAATGTGTATTGGTGAATAACAAGCAAATCTGGTAGAAAAAAACTTGAAAAATTAAGAAAAAAGAAATACGCTGGTTCTCTTGGTTTGAAGACCAAGCACACCACCAGCAACATGGAATAGTTCCCTCAAGATATAAGGTGGAAGTTAAGATCAAAGCAACACAAAGAGAAATAATGCAGCTGTCAGAGCAGAAGGAAGAAACGCTGGCCCAGGAAATACCACAACCCAAGTGACGCCAAAGGCTCTGGGACAGCCAAACAATGGCTCACAGCTCTGGCTCGCTGTCTCATGAGCTACACCAGAGAAGCAAAACCCAGCCAAACAAACATGATGTTCTTTGTTGCACGTTGGACTGTAGCTCCAAAGTTGTTTTTTCAATCTTGAAAGTTTGATTTCAGTTTCCTCCTGTTTTAAAATCATTTCAGCAGATTTCTGCAGCATATCACAAAATAATCTGATACAAAAGAGAAAGTAAGTGTTGAAAGTACTCTGTGAGTGGAGTGCTTATTGTTGGTGTCTTCTGATGGACCACGCCCAAAAAGGTCCAGCTAGTTTAATGAATTTGAGCTTATATATGAGATGAGTGAGGCATTTCTATAGCCTACTTATGTAGCAACAGCCTGACCACAAAACCATCTATTTTTGGAAAGCTCAGAGTTCAGTAAGACATTATAAAGTCATACTCACAACACATGGAAGCACTTAAGCAAAAACAAAACTATTATTATAGTTAGAAAAGCTATAAAACAAATGACAGACATTGTCAACAGCTGCAGATGGTGTCAACTTTCTTTAGGTTTACAGCTTGCACTACAGCTAAGCTAATTGCTGTAAAATTATGAGTTCAGTTTTTAACTAACCCAACCCTTATTTTGCAATGTCTCCATAGCAACTGACTCTGTGTGAGGGTAGGAAAATCCCCCTATCTGAATTACTTCATTTTATTTTTTATTTTTTTAGTTAAATATACTGTCTGTTACATTGCAGTAGGTGGATGAGGGATACAGTGAGCTCCTCAATCAGAAAGTACGATTGCAAATATCATATTTACCACATTAACAAATATTCTCACCAAAATTTGATGCTGATACTGCACCATTTTGCTTAAACATCTGAATATCAAGGTACAACGCTGATATAGACAACAACCAAGATAAATTTGATATTTGATCATTTGTTTGGAGGAAAGTATTTTGGACAAAAGTAATTCATTCCAAAGGAAATGCTGGGTTATTTGGAAATTCTGTTTAACTAATTAAATTATTTAAGAACCTTTTTTGTTTTATGCGTCTCAGTTCTGTCATGAATAACATGGAACCGTTTGATCAAGATATGGCTGAACAAAATCCAACAAGTTATTAGATTCAACTACATTATAAATCAATCTAACATTTATGGAAGAATCCATTTCTTTACCTATTAGTAAGAAATTGGTATTGACCAAAACCAGATTGGCTGTCAGATCAATGAGAATCTCAATCTCAAAAGTTTTCTAAGGGTAATGCTATCTCCTGGCTTGTGATCTGAAGATGGCAAAGCGTTCAAAATAGATCTGAAGGATGATTATATAAAGACATTTCTTCTAATAGCACCGTGCCTCTGGTCAAATTTAAGACATGAACCTGCCTTAAATCGTGCCGTGTGAACCAGACTTAAGACTCAAGCTTTACTCCTCTAGTCCGGACCCTAACGCTCTCTGATTCTGGTCACTATGGTAACGCTTTCACCTTCAAAATAAGATACAGATGTGCCACAAGAACGAATATCAACTCACAATAATGACAAATGAGTATCCGTGAATTTTTCAGTCAGGTTTTGCGAGGCAAAATCACACCGGAAGTAAAGATACACCTCTTTGAGTTATGGCGGCCACTGTCTGACGTCACTGTGAAAAGGGTTTGTTGAAACACGTTTTTTGCGTCACAGGAGTCATGTGATCAACAACAGGATGTTACGAATGGTGAAAAAAAATGAAGAGGGTGACAGGAAGTAGTAGGAAGATGATGGAGTGGCATGTTTTTTAATGACTTATCACACGAACAAACTTATTATTAAAAAAAATACAATAAACATTTAATCGCTGTGAACCTTCCCATAATTGGTCCAGGACTGCATTCAGGAGGACACAAAAGTAAAAGTACCTAAATAAACATCCAAAGCACTGCAGTCCTCTCTTGCCTCGTCATCACAGAGTCAAACATGGTGATGGTCTGACGTTACAGCCGTGTCCCAATTCAAAGGCTGCATCCTTTGAACTTGAAGGCCGATTACATCATAGCTCTGCGACAAGGCCTGTCCGAATTCGAAGACTCCTTCAAATGCGTCCTTCTTTTCACCAGATTTGAAGGATGGTCCGGTGTATTCTTCACAGCCCACCATATCCCATTACTCACTGCGGGCCCAAACCGAGCGTTCAGGCAAAGCGGCAATGGTGGTGAAGAGCAGCAAATTATTTTGCTATATTACACTTTAAGTGACAACATAATTTTTTTACAATGTTTGTAGGTGAGAGTGTGACTTTGTAAGTCTGAAATATTTGCTCGGTTCATCAATGCATCACCTAGTTGTAATATTGCTCTGACATTTTCGGACAGCCAGCTCCCCTCGCCAGCTGTCAGCTGGCCGGGCGCTCCAGGTTTGGTTTACCTTGAGAGAAGGCCTGACTCCTGGAACACCGTTATAAAAACTCCCACTAGCTTTCCCCAGTGAGTGGAAGTTAAACTCCGATATTATTTAGTCTGTCTAGCAGTATAATGCTTGGTTTACCAAAGTATTTAATTTATTCCTGAGTAAATCGGTTTGATTGATTAAAGTAAAGCCTTAAACATAACAGTTTTATTTAACTAATGGCTTATCTGAGATCTGGAGAGTATTATATTTGAAAATGAATAATTTGCTTCTATTTATTCCTGGTAGAAATGTGCAATACATGTTTGAACATTTTAGAATCAAACTAACAGATTTTTTTTTTTTACTATGGAACAGCCTTTACTATAAAAGGTGAAGAATAATATAGAAATCAGGAGTAATACATAGCTGAGTTTTCAAATTTTTTAAACAAACTTAGGCTCTGGTCTTTTTTTCCTTTTGCTGCTCTGTGCTTCACATAATCATGGTTACTAGGCAACATGAGTTATGCAGAGGTGGAGGTTAGACCTGTCCAAATTTACAGCTTTTCTCTTCCGGCTGTCGTTTATTCACGGTCTTTGAAGGATTCAGACCGTGAATTCGGACGTGGCTTACATTGCTGCTTCAGGGGATGGATGATTTACTATAACTGATGAAATCATAAATTTTGCTCTCTAGTAGAAAATTCTAAATATCGGGTCATAAGTTTGTGACCTGAAGCCTGCTGGGTTATGCAGCAGGCCAATAATCTGATGCAAACCAATGTGTGAACAGGGATTAAACTTTTGGCAACTTGGAGCGAAGCAACTTTTTTTTTGTTGTTGTAATTGTTATGTTGTGTTTTAATGTACAGCATTTTGTATCAGCTGTGGTTGTTTTAAAGTGCTTTAGAAATAAAGTTGGTATGGTATTGGTTAATTTGCATTACATAGAGCAAAAACTTTGCAACTCCAAATTTGCTTCTGTGTATTGGTGGTTTAAAGTGGGCTAATAAGTGCACATTTAAAGTCTAACATTTTTTGGGAAAAATATACTGAACAGATGGATAGATCAAAAACTGATCTGACTGATGTCACATTAAATTTGAGTATTTTGTACTAGTCAGTCATTTGTACAAAGACCAGTAAAAACTGAAAGGACCAGTTACAGGGTTGTTCCAGCAACATGACAAGTAGTGAGGCTGATCTCACCAACCATGATTTTTGGTATTAAAGTTTCAGCCTGTGCCATTAAGACACATTATTTAAGGTGGGGTTCTCATGTCTCACTAAACTGTATTGTCTAGCATGAAATGCACTCATGCGGACACAGACATTATTCCTGAAAAAATACAGAATTAAAAAAATACAGTAGACTAAATCAAAACTTGTGCCACATGGGTTTAACTTTTTTGTCTTTAGTAAACAAATGTCTTTCAAGACAGTGGAGTATCTGAAACCCCATCACATACTGGCTGCTTTCAAGAGTTCTTGCTCCTAACACAGCAGTGGAATTGTAAAAATAATTTGAGAAAGATTTCAATAAACCCCTTGGGTTTCTTTGGTACTAACATGGTGTCAAGTTGCAAAGGTCCAGTTCCTGAGGCTTCCTCTTTCCAGAGCAATGGTTTCTTGGCAGATTAAGTCCATTCTCAGTTGTGCAGCACACTGAACGTCTTTTAAAGCCTCTTCCACAGGACTTAGAGCACTGAGACCAAGTTCCTACATTCCATATTGGACATGGATCCCCGCATGCTCTTACTGCTGCTGGCCTTTTAGTAATGTCACAATCAGTTGTAAGATGTCCTTCTGTGCTCTGGCATTGGACCAACCGCTGCTGTAGACCATTTCCACAAGTAACTGTACATGAATCCCACCCTGCTGTTTTCCAGTGACTAACAAGTCTCTTACCCATCACCTCATTCTTAATTACTGTATTTTTGCCATTGATCAAGACACTGTTCTGTAGCTTGTGGCTTCTCTCCTCTTTCCGAAGAGTCTTTTCATCTTTATGCTCCTTCGACATGTAGAAGGAGTAGCGGATCCTGGGAGGAGTCATCTTCCCCACAGAGAGCACCTCTACAGTTAGAGGTTCTTGCAGAGGTCTGGTGGCCTGGAGAATCTCCACATATGTAGAGGTGCCACTGTAGCGTAGCAGGGTGCCTTTAAGTAGAAGGTCTCGCTCTACAGCTGACACCACATAGTTGCCGTTCAGAAGGTATTTACCATGGCGATTCTTCACAGCGAGGTAGTTCTCATCACTGACCATTCCTCTGTACCCCCGTTGGCGGATGTCAATATTAGAGGCTCCAGTGGGCAGCGTCACCACAAAGTTATAACCACTACTGAAAAGCAAGAAAGAACATTTTAAACATGACCTTTCTACATCTTACTAATAAAACATAAAACACTAAATGCTACCAATTATAGAGGATATTATCTATGTGAAGTGATTCAAGGAATCTCACCCAAAACGGCAAGATTTGTTCCAGACATTCAACTCCTGAGAAGATATGGAAACCTCTATTGGTTATAAATTTGTTGAAATTTGGACTCAGAAGTCTGGATACAGAAAGTCCAGGTCATGTTAGGCATAGCTTAACAAAAACACATCGCTTTCTGCGACGTGTTTGGGAGCAAAGAATGTCGACTATTTCCAATGACTGCTCTGATGGTGTTCCAAAAAGACTGTTTCCTGTTATGCCATGCAATGGGGGAATTTTGAAAAAAAACAACAAAAAAAAACACGGTAACTTTATTTGATGGGGTGTGCATAGGGCTGACATGACACTGTCATAAACATGACATAACACCTGCCATGAACATGAACGAGTCGTTATGAATGTTTATGACCATTGTTATGAAGTGTCATTCAGTAAGTAATGACACTCACTGCAAAAACTTCATTAAAAGTCCATTAAAAGTGCCAACTTTGCATGATTTTGTAAATAATGACAATTTAATGCAAAGTTGGCACTTTTAATGGACTTTCAATGCAAGTTTTAAAGCAACTTTGCATTAAAAGTGTTATTATTTACCAAATGACACTTCATGAATGACAGACATTCATAAAAACTCTCTCATGTTCATGACAGGTGTTATGTCATGTTTATGACATTGTCATGTCAGTCTTATGCACACCCAGCCAAATAAAGTGTTAGCAAAAACACTTGCTACATTGATCTATACATGAGGCAATAAATCAAGTTCTGCCACGCTTTTAGGTAGATTTCTTGTTTTAATGAGTTCCTGTACTTACTATAATAGTGCATGTGCATTGGGATCAATGATATGATTGATATCATTCATGGGGTGAATTAGTTTTCAGTGATGTTACCGCCTCATTAAGATGTTTGTTGTGCCTTACTACATATAAAATCAATACATTGGGAACAAAAAAAGTTAGCAAACACCAGGTGGAACTTCTGCTGAACTACATAAGAGCTACTTCTCAATGAAATTCTGGCAAATACGTTGTTAAAGGGTTAATAGAGGAGCCATGTTATGATGACTTCCTGAAGGTGTATCAGAGTTCAGGAGGGTTGAATACTTACACAGGCTTTGTGAACATCCCTGAGATCTTCTTGCAGCTCTGGTTGTCCCCGCCACACACACCACACTTGTCAAACTTCTTGTCAGAGTCCAGCTTGCCATCGCAGCCTGCCTTGATGCATTTCCCCTGAACACACACGGCTGAGGTGTCAGGGGAGCACGGCGTCCCATCCACAACCTGCCACATTCATATCAACAGTCAAACGCTGTGATATTATTTCAGTCTTCTACCCTAAAGACACATGAATGAAACTTGATACAGCTGAGAGGATGTACAGTAAGTATACACAAGACACTGGCTAGAATTTTTACAACAACCCTGCTTCCTTGCTGAGTGTGTAAATTGTACTGACAAACCACAGTAAAGTGGCTCTGGCTTGTGTGTCTCACTGCATGGAGTTCAAACTGCATCTAAAAGTCTAATAGCTGATTTGCATCTATTCTGAATACGGTTCTTTTAACTACAGAGTGCACAATTTTAACACTGAAGCTAGAAAATATTTGAAGACAACCTCATTGCACAGTCCTGTTAAACTTCCAGGTTTATATTGAGCTAAAATTAAGACCATGAAAAATCAGTTCAGAACTTTTGCCAATGCAATCATTGGGGGTTAGGCTAGCAATCATTGGCAAAAGTTCTGAACTGATTTTTCATGGTCTTATTCTTTACAATTCAGCAAAAATAAACAACTTAATCAAAGAAAAAATATTAAAAAATATTAAAGATGGAAAAAAAAACTTCAATGGCATGATTTCATATGTGTGCACAGCCTTAAATTAAAACTTTGATTTAATTCCAGCATTTGGACTTTTTTAGTTTAAACCTGCCATCAGTGATGACCCTACTAAGCAAATGCGCAAGTTTATTCCCAGCTGGAAAACTTGCTTCATTGTTCAAGCACCCATGACCACATACACACACATTTAGGTCTAAAACGATTCCTCGAGTGATTCGAGTACCTCAATTATTAAAATTCCTCCAGAAAAATTTACCTGCCTCGAAGCTTCGTTAATTTATGTTTCATTATTTAGCGCACCGTGTTACAGCCGGGACTTAATTCGCGTTGCGCAGAGCTCTGAATTCCGCCCGAGTTGTTGACGAAAGCTAAGTGTTGTCA